TGGGTGCTATGAGGTTCCCGTGGGTGCTGTGGGTGCTGTAGGGACCCCGTGGGTGCTGTGGGGTCTCCACAGGGGCTGTGAGCTTCCCGTGGGTGCTGTGAGGTCTCCATGGGTGCTGTGGGTGCTGTAGGGTTCCCGTGGGTGCTGTAGGGTTCCCGTGGGTGATGTGGGGTCTCCGTTGGTGCTGTGGGTTCTGTACGGTTCCCGTGGGTGCTGTGGGGTCACCATGGGTGCTGTGGGGTCCCCGTGGGTGCTATGGGGTTCTCGTGGGTGCTGTGGGGTCTCCGTGGGTGCTGTGGGGTTCCCGTGGGTGCTATGAGGTTCCTGTGTGTGCTGTGGGTGCTGTAGGGTTCCCGTAGGTGCTGTAGGGTCCCCGTGGGTGCTATGGGGCTCCCGTGGGTGCTGTGGGGTCACCATGGGGACCCCGTGGGTGCTGTGGGGTTCCCGTGGGTTCTATGAGGTTCCCGTGGGTGCAGTGGGGTCTCCATGGTTGCTGTGGGTGCTGTAGGGTTCCCGTGGGTGCTGTGGGGTCACCGTGGGTGCTGTGGGGTCCCCGTGGGTGCTATGGGGCTCCCGTGGGTGCTGTGGGGTCACCATGAATGCTGTGGGGTTCCGTGGGTGCTGTGGGTTCTGTGAGGTTCCCGTGGGTGCTGAGTGCTGGGGGGGGTGCTGTGGGGTTCCGTGGGTGCTGTGGGGTCTCCATGGGTGCTGTGGGTGCTGTAGGGTTCCCGTGGGTGCTGTGGGGTTCCGTGGGTGCTGTAGGGTTCCCGTGGGTGCTGTGGGGTCTCCATAGGTGCTATGAGGTTCCCGTGGGTGCTGTGGGTGCTATAGGGACACGGTGGGTGCTGTGGGGTTCCGTTGGTGCTGTGGGTTCTGTGAGGTTCCCGTGGGTGCTGTAGGGTCTCCACGAGGTTCCCGTGGGTGCTGTGGGGTCCCCGTGGGTGCTATGGGGTTCCCGTGGGTGCTGTGGGGTTCCGTGGGTGCTGTGGGTTCTGTGAGGTTCCCGTGGGTGCTGTGGGGTCCCCGTGGGTGCTATGGGGTTCCCGTGGGTGCTGTGGGGTCCCCGTGGGTGCTATGGGGTTCCCGTGGGTGCTGTGGGGTCCCCGTGGGTGCTATGAGGTTCCCGTGGGTGCTGTGGGTGCTATAGGGACCCCGTGGATGCTATGGGGTTCCCGTGGGTGCTATGGGGTTCCCGTGGGTGCTGTGGGGTCTCCACGAGGTTCCCGTGGGTGCTGTGGGGTTCCCGTGGGTGCTATGAGGTTCCCGTGGGTGCTGTGGGGTCCCCGTGGGTGCTATGGGGTCCCCGTGGGTGCTATGGGGTTCCCGTGGGTGCTGTGGGGTCACCATGGGTGCTATGGGGTTCCGTGGGTGCTGTGGGATCGCCGTGTCCCCCCCGTGTCCCCCCTCTCCCCCCTGGCAGCCGCGCGCAATTAACGAAATGGCGCTTAATGAATTACACGCGTCAGCGGTGCCCATTAACGAATTACACCCATCCACCATGGTTCTTAATTAATTACACCCATCAACGGCGGCCGTTAATTAATTACACCCATCAACGGTAGCTCTTAATTAATTACACCCATCAACGGCGGCCGTTAATTAATTACACCCATCAACGGTAGCTCTTAATTAATTACACCCATCCACCGCGGCCGTTAATTAATTACACCCATCCACCATGGCTCTTAATTAATTACACCCATCAACCCCCCCTCCCGCGGGGACACTGGGGACAGCGGGGGGACATTGAGAAGGACATTGGTGGCACTGGGGTGGCACTGGGGACACTGGGGTGGCACTGGGGTGGCACTGGGGGACACTGAGGGGACACTGGGGGACATTGGGGTGGCACTGGGGGACACTGAGGGGACACTGGGGGACA